GGGAATGCCAAGGGTCGCGGCTGGAGGGGGAAGAGGCGGTTGCACGGCTAGGATGAGATGCTGGTGGCGATTGCTTGGTTGGAGGGGGAAGGGACAATCGCTCGGTTGGGAGGGAACGCTGAGGGTCACGGCTGAAGATGGGATGAGGTGTGGTTGAGGATGACTGCGGCGGAAGGTGGGATGAGGCGCGGCTGAGGGTGACTGCGGCGGGATGAGGCACGACCGAGGGCGGCTGCACGGAAGGTGGGACGAGGAACTGTAGCGAGAACGCCGAGAGTCGCGGTTGGAGATAGGATGAGGCATGACTAAGGGTGACTGCAGCAGAAGGTGGGATGAGGTGCGACTGAGGGCGACTTCGATGGAAGGTGGGATGAGGCGCGGTTGAGGGCGACTACGGCGGAAGGTCGGATGAGGCGCGGCTGAGGGCGACTATGGCGGAAAGTCGGATAAGGCGCGACTGAGGGCAGTTGCACGAAAAGTGAGACGAGGAATTGCAGCGGGAACGCTGAGGATCGTGGCTTTGATACCAGATGATAAGACTCTAGGATTTTATCATAGAAGAAGAGAAAGAAAAGGGATGATCACTTCGAGAGGATTGGTCTCCTAGGGTTTGCTAAAAGACTGGAATAACATTTCATAGATAGATGAAAAGAAACAGATACATCCATATTTATAACATTTCAGGACTTGGACTCCTAATTAATAAATAAATCTCAAATAAACCCCTATCCGACTCTTACTGAACTATACAAACTCAATAAAACATTATTCAAAGTTTAGAAAATAAAAATAATCCTAACAATGACAGCCTTGTTTTCAGGGATACTTAATGTCGGATGATAGACATGATGAAAAGATGTAATAATGCTATTTAAAGGTAAGATTTGTCCATATGACAGTGTTCTCTTTAATGTTAGAGTAGAATATTTAACACATAGTGTTATTTTATTCTTGCAGTCGATATTTTTAATTATTCGTTCATCGACATTGGTAACAAGTCTCACTGAAGAGAAAATTTACTTTATGTTATTGTTAAGTACTTGTAGATAGGTGGCTAGAGAAAAAATTGGAGTTATAAATTTCTTGGACATTTGACCTTGTTGCACAACTAAAACTAGGCAATTGCGTGTATTGATGCAATCAAGTACTCTCACGCAGAGATGACTTCGACATTGCTACAGGTTCAGAAAGGGGTTCTAGAAGATGTCACACTTAGACAAAAAACTTGACTGGTTTTTTTACTGTATATCTGGTGTTTTGTATTGGAAGCAACTTACACAATGTTTAGGCCTATCTTTGCAGTTATTTGTCAAGCCTAATTCCTCTAAACGGCTTTCAATTGGACTAGATGGGAGATAATAGTAGAACCTGTTTTCTCCATTGATCTAGTGGTCCCACGAATGTCTTTTAGTTTCCATGCCTATGTACACTGCTGAAGCTCTGGAATAAAGCATTATGTCAAAGGCAATATTTTAAAAGGCGGCCATGGCATGTGGATGGTCACTGCCAGCACATGCTGACCGGCTGATGGGTAGTGCCATACATTGTTATGATATGGGTATATCTCAATAACACTTGAGAAAGAAAAATAATAACAAAATACTCAAAAGTGTACCAATATGACAATATCATCACCTGTTATCTGTATGGTTCTGAATTGGTACAATACACTATAATATGGATGTGTATCTGTATCCACAATTCCTCTTTTATATAGCATTCAGGATTGCCCTGAGCTGTCTATGGATCCTTTGTTAACACAGGCCAGGTCCTAACATCCAAATTGCAGGACATGGAAGTCCCCACTGGACCACGTGTTTCTTTTTTGGGGGGGAGGTTGTGGGGCAAGGAGGGGAAGGCTTGTTTTTTTCCTTGTCCGGACAGGTTTCACTCAGCATCATTAGCCTTGTTTAAGTCTGTGATTGCCAGTCTACTGTCTATGACTAGTATCTGCCTTGGAGTCGAAGGGTATATCTTGGATGGAATTGCAGTGTGCTACATACATTGCTCTTATTGCTAAGTGGCCGAGCCACCTCTGAGTTTGGTAATCAACTTGTATAACCTGGGAAGAGTTGTGCTGTATTCACTTGGAAAAGCAAACGCTGATTGATGAAGATGAGGAGAGTTCCTATTTGTCTTCATTTTCTTTCTAGCTGCAAGCTTGCTTCTGTATCTGCACCCTTGTTCAAGGCATATGCTATGCTACGATTTCTTTCTTATGTATCCATATTTTGTTTGTCATGGGGTACCCATAGTGTATAGCATTATTCTTTGTCCCCACTTGCGTGTTTCAAGCGTGGTAGTTTGTGCTGCAGTCTGGATACAACACGAGAGTTCATTGTTGTGGTGATGGTGGCGGCAGCAGCAGCTACGCGCAATCCCTAGGTTTGAATCTTGTAATTGCACAAACTCTTTATTTTTGATGCACTTTATATTTTAAATTTATGTTGCATATTATTGTATATCCTGTCCATGCATTTTCCGCACTTTATATTTCCAGTTTACAGTTACCAGCTTCTTGGGTCATTTTTCACACTTGTTGCTGTTCTGGATCTATCTTCGTTCCATCGTGTAGAGTAGGTACATTTCTAGGTTGTTTTTAAACTACCCCTTCGAATTATCCTACGCTGATAAATAATTAGACTGCCAGTGCTTAATAGTGTTAGAAGTAGAAGATAGTCTAGTACTTATATGATGCCGTACTGTGTTTACACTCACTTAATTTACTGTATACTGCCAGAATGAAGTCGTATCTAACTACTGTCTTGGTGTTTCTACCAACTTTTGTTCGTAGAACAAGAAAGGGAAAAGCTATCTATTTAAGTCGAAGTCTCTGTTTGATTGGTGGGGCCAGTTTCGGGAGATATGAATTGGCAACGGAAGCGTCCAAGCGGTAGTCGGACAAGGAAGCCAGCTGTGTCGTGGAAAGAACCAAAAGAATCCATTTGGAACCCCTACCCAGATGACTCCCTGCCTGTATTCTGAGGTACTGCACGAATCCTTCTGGGGTTGTACGTGTAGCTTCTCCTGTGGCCTTCCCATGGGACGGCCCTTTGGACGCTGTTTGAGTCGACCGCGCGTGTTGGGATCACGTGCGAAGGGCGTGGTCCACGTTTTCCGTTGCACGTAGCGTGCCTCATCTTAAGCGGGTTCATGTCATTAGTTCCTGCTTAATAAATTACATTAGCTTCCATGAACCGAAACGGAAGGTTGTAGCAGAAAGGCGTCCACGGTTGGGAATTTAACCTTCACTCCATGAACGCCTCTGTCGGAGCAATCCTCATGGGCGGTTCCACCTGACACAGCGGAGCTTACTGCCATCAGCGGTATACCATTCTGCGCCAAAGTGTTTTTATTTTATTTTATTGCAGAACCAAATACCATATTAGGCGCTGCCGTCATGGGTGTGGGAGGAATAGAGGAGGGTAATCTGAGTCATCCAACTTCTCACAAGTGGACTCTCGTCAGCCCAATCCTTCTGAGATACTTCTTCATTCCTTTTCATCATTAAACCTTCCTCGGGGTGCTTATGGTAAGACTGTTATTTGTCCTCCCAACCGAAAGAGGCTGAGAACCGTGCGAATCTCATCATCATATGGAAAGAGAGGAGAAAAATATGCACACTCATGGTAAGTAACCTGTGCGTGATGCACAGGTATTAGGCCAATGGCCATCTCACCCAGACAAACGAACGATAGGGGGTCCAGTGCTATGTGAATGCCATGGCTCCTATGGTATAGGCTCCAGAAAAAACCTACACCAACCATCCAGGATGGGACACAGTCTCAAAGGGGTGGAGCGGTCGTCCTCCCACACTGCATACGAGCAGTACAACAGGGGATCCCACTTCAAATCAGTCGCCCATCACAAACAACGATGGGCACTCGACGATAGCTGTCCTTGGAATCATATCACGTCGACCCTCCCACATAGTCTGTGTACCACAGCGTCCATGGAGTGCATGCCGTGAGAGACGCACACGCTGGAAGAAACTAATAGGCGGCACGCAACGACGTTCACACTTGGCGCGTCTTACCAGTCAAGCCTTCTGCCCTCTCTACCCCACCCTTGTCACATCAACCCACCCATCTCTTTACTCGAAATCGGTCAGCTATATTCCCGCCGTCTCGTCTCAGCCGTCCATTCTTCGGGCGGCCAATTAAATGGTCCCATTCGTTCCGTCCCGCTACGCCAGGAGGACGAATGGACTCTCCGACACGTGGCCGTTTGCAGCTGCCCCCGTCGTACGTAACGGTCAGTACCGTGGGGGCAGACGGTCGCCAGGAAGACGGCCATGGAAATCGCGACCACGTCGTTCCAGGTCTGCGGGACCCAGCGCCACAGCAGTGGGGCCCTGCTACGCGATCCGAGCTGCGCGGCACGGAACCGGCCGGTGCCGACAAAGTGTGATGGGCCCCGGCGAGTGGGTGCGGCGGAAGCGACGCCGTTAGTGCCGTCGTTGCGTGCTGTCCGGTCTCCGCGGGGGCCGCCATCCGTCCCCCTTTCGAGGGCCGTCAGTCAAGCGAAACGGAGCTGGAGAAGCCGCTCGTCCCGTCCTCGCTGGGCGTCTGGCGATGCGTCACGTAACTCTCAAATCTCTTTCCTCATCAAAACGAGAATTACACCATTTAAATATACCACCGACACACAGGGACTTCCAACGCCGAAGCGCCCGGCGAGGTCGCTATGGATGTTCCCATGGCCCCACAGATCTAATGGAAGAAGGGCGGGGCCTTCAATTTGGGTGGAGGGCGAGAGAGAGAGAGAGAGAGAGAGAGAGAGAGAGAGAGAAGAAGAG